CCACTCTTTTTGGTTCAGATCTGGTTCAGTTTATGGTTCAAGATTGATCCTTGAAAATATGATTTTCTAAATAGGGAATACGATTCCCAGTTGAAGGGAGAGATAAAATTTTTGAAATTCGCCCCTTATTCCGCAATCTTTGGGCGCTGGACTCTGGTAGATCTACCCCCTGGGGTAAAAGCAATTGGTTGCAAATGGATCTACAAGAGGAAGAAGGGCCCAATGGTAAGGTTGAGACATACAAGGCTTGTCTTGTGGCGAAAGGGTACACTCAGAAAGAGGGCATCGATTATGAGGAAACCTTTTCGCCGGTGGCAAATTTATTAGGATCCTGCTAGCTGTAGCAGTATACCATGTTCCTTAATGAGTCCAATTAAGTATAAAAGACTGAATATTTAGGGATAAAAATACGATAATTCTTATTCTCATCATCTGCCAAGAACCATCTTGAATTGGTCCATGGTGACCAGGTTCTGGGCATTTGGTGTATTATCTTGATTATCAGTCATTGTTGGAAGCTTAGTAGTTTTTAGATTAAGTGTTCACTTAGAGAAGTTTTAGCAATGTTTCCACAGATAGTGCCGATTGTTACTATGAATGATGGGCTGAGGATAGCAAGATAATTTCACTTCCTTATCCGAGTAATGACATATATAAGGGCTGATATATCTGAGGACTGCAATGTCCAACCTGAAGATTAGAGAGCACGTCAGAAGCCCCGAGTATCATCCCAGGAATGAAAACTCCGACGGTTAAATTAATTAAGTACTAGGGGGTCGGATGAGGTCTGAGAAGAGAGCTCAAATGAGATCACTCAAAAGCTAAAGAGCTTGATAATAGAAAAGAGCCAACATAACTTACGTAGGGAGTGGGTAAAATCTTATCTGGCCGATGGCATGTGGGGCCATCTAACCTTTATCTTTCTATTTGTTAGGTTCTTGAGAGGCATTGACTGATAGGCACTCTCCGCCGTCGGTTCAATGTCAATAGCTCTGGAACAATAATCTAATAACAACATGTAACTAATTGAATGCAAAGGTAATATGGGTATGGGGCAGCAATAAATAAATAAATAATATTTGAATCTGAGTAGGACCTATCGACCCAATTACTTACAAGTAGTGTGCATAAGATGTGGGCCTCATGCATGTGTACAGAACACTGGTGTACCCGCTAACGTGATAGGTTGTCCAGCGCCGGTGACAAGATTTTGTCTCGACTCTCCAACCCATGACACATCGTGTCTGCACATCGTGTTCCTATTCCTCTCAAGAAATCATTCGAATGCCTATATTAATTAATTAACCCATCCAATACATCCCTGTGCCAGCAGACCAAGATGAAGAGGAGTGGCTCAAACCAAAACCAAAGTTGCGTGCACAGTTCTACCCCTATCTCTCCTCCTCCTCCTCTTCCTCTCCATTCGTTTGAGGTGTTGCGTCGCACGCCTCTGAACCGAGCTTTTGCTCTCGTATATGCGACTGCCATCTCGGCTTTGCTCTATCGCCATACCCTCTCTCTCCTCTCTGGCTCTGCAACCACTTTCTTTTCCTTCTCCCTTGTTTCTTTCTCCTTGCTACTCTCCGACGCCGTTCTCGCTTTTATGTGGGTAACCGAACAGGCCTTCCGGATGCGTCCCGTCCGTCGCAAGGTATTCATAGAGAATCTCAGTCGGGTTGTTGATGAGAAGAACTTCCCGGCGTTAGACGTGTTTATATGCACTGCCGACCCATTCAAGGAACCTCCGTTGCGCGCCATTAACACTGCTTTATCAGTCATGGCCTACGATTATCCCACAGACAAGGTGTCTGTGTACGTATCGGATGACGGGGGTTCGCAGCTTACGCTCTTTTCTTTGATGGAAGCTGCCAAGTTTGCTACACACTGGTTGCCTTTCTGTAAGGAATTTCGAATAGAGGAAAGGTGCCCCGATGCGTATTTTAGATCCACTCACAGTTGCGCCCAAACGGAGAAGATGAAGGTAAGTCCCACAGCACATCCCAACCATGTATACTTACTATTGAGATACACGGTTGAGATGTGTCATGGAACGCATATATGATTTGACAACAGAATCCAATATTCAGTATTGTATTAGGGCTTTAATTTTTTATTGGGATTATAGTTGATAAAAAATAAATTTTTTAATATAATTTTTAAAATACAGCCTTAATGCTCACTTATGAGCTTCATTTTCACAAGTGTGGTTTCTATTTTAAAATAAAAAATAAAAAATCACAAAAAGCCCCTTTCAAGTCATAATTCTGTTTTATAAAATCCTTAAACCCCCCCAAATTGTCATTGTTTGGAACCTCCCCCTTACCTTTTTTTTTTTTTTTAATTGAACCTCTCGTTTAATTTTATTAAATCCATCTTTTTCTCTAAAATTCTTTTAAATACCTATTAATTCTCTGTAATAAAATCGAGGTATTAAATTGATGTATTAGGTTAAACCAAACACAACTTGTGGTAAACCTAAACCCCATAAACTAAATATATGTTTGGCATTAATGCTGCACTTGTAGCTGCTTCTGATGCACGGCTTGGAGTACTATTTTCTAAAAAGATGGTGCCATTTTTTGTTTGGAGTTGTTGCTGTCAGAAAGGATGTTTCCTGAGCAATAACTTTTGCCAAATTTGGTATTGCTCCAAGCCATGCCTTATCGATTTCCAAGACGTGGTTTAGAGCACCATTTTCTATGAAAAAATGGTTCCAAACAAATGACTATTTTCTGAAACACCATTTTTTCTTACACAACGCTGATGTAGCACCTTTTTCTGGAGCAACAGCAGCAACGGTTCCAAATAGACACTAAACCTAAAACACAAATAATGCTATGCTTGCATGAAAACCAGGTGGTTCAAAGATAATGGATTTAGAAATGGTAGCGCGCTTTGCATCTCGCAAGCCCTCTAAACCCCTACAAAATTATCATATTATTTCTAACAAGGTTTTTAATACCTGCCCGGAGAATAAACCGGTCAGGGATCTGGTCTCAGGTTCAACAATCCAATCATTTGAATGATCAACCCGTTCTAATAAAAAAAATTAAAAAAATAAAAACGATCAAAGCCATTAAACAGTTCGACCATCCGTATCAATAATTTGCTAACCAAATCAATAGTTTTTTTTGCAAATATCCGATTTTGAGGAAAAACAGAACCAGTCACCTAACTGATTTTCGGTTTTTCGGTCCGACCGTCCGATCCGGTTTTGAAAACCATGATTTCTGATAATTAATTTGTGGTTGCAGATTATGTATGGAATGATGAAAGAGAAGATAGAAAGCGTGATGGAGAGAAGAGGTGGATTTGTCAATGACTTCATCTCCAGCGATCATCACCGCCAAGCCTTTAACAAATGGACGCCAGGATTTACGCGTCAAGATCATCCTACTGTAATTGAGGTTTGTAAGTGTAAAACTCTTCAATGACGTCATCCATCCTGTACTCCTGTTCATCATCATGATGAAACAATGCCCGTGGTAGCATGGAGTCCGTGGTCATGGTCGGACCCACCTCTGACGACGGCTTCATTTGCACGTGCTCAGGGTCGAAGAATGGTAGATTGGGCCAAATTATTTCAAACAACCCTGTAATATTCGGAAAAGGCAATTTTACCCTAGAACTTTAAAAAATGGTCAATTTAGACTTTGGACTTACAAAAAATCTAATCATAGGCAGATAAGGCTGGGTGTTGATGATATAATTCATTAAATAATAAATAAAATAATAAGAAATACTGATATAATATTATTAAACTTAAAAAACTAAAAATTAGCATGTGAATCTTATTTAATAAAATAAAAACTATTTAATATATATAATTATAAATATTGAAAATAATATATAAACTGGTCCCACTTAAAATTTTCTATTTAAAAAAAAAAAATTGACGCCACTTAAAATTTTAAGTGGATCATCTCTCTCTATCCACCTCAACCTTGAGCTTGCTCTCGAGCCCTACTTACAGACGTTGACACTAAAAGAGTTGGTATCAGTCAGGCTCGATGTCTGCTTTGCTCACGATCGAGATGGGAATACCCCTCTCCATCTGGCAGCAATGAAAGGCTGAGTGGAGGTCCTCATAGAACTAGTTGGGGTGAGACCCGAAGCAACTCAAGTGCTTATTGATCATGGAGAGGCCATTCTGCACCTGTGTGAAGTATGACCAATCGGAGGCACTGAAACTGCTGCTGAGCTTAATGGGTGATGATGAAACATTTATCAACTCCAGAGATGAAAATGGCAATACCATATACCATCCTCCATCTCGAAGTGGCTGATAAGCATGTTGAGGTAATTAATTTGCCATAGACAGTAAAGAGAAGCAGTGAATGTGAACTTGTTGAATGCCATCATGTCCATCGCTTGGATGTTATAACTAGGGGTGAGCACTATTCCGTGTTAATTTCAAAAATTCAAACTGAAAATTTCGATTTTAGTTTTTGGTTAAATCGGTTGATTGATTCAATTTTTGGTTTCAGTTTTTAAATTTAGAAATTCGGTTRATCGAATTAACTGAACTTTCTATTATTAATTATTATATGTAATATATAATAAGACCCACTTGCAAAATTTCAATTTTTTAAATATAACAATACTATATCATTATTTCTTATTATTTTATTCATTATTTAGCGGATTATGAACAATGTCATTAACACCCATCATTATCTGTTTACGATTGAACTATTTTTTTTTTCTGAAATATAGAGTTTAAATTAGCCACTTTTTAGTTCAAGGGCAAAAATGCCTTCTTCAAATATAATAAGGGTTGTGAGAGCCGTTGATCCCACAAAAATTTGGCCCATGCTACTCTCCTTACCACCTCCAATCATTTTGATTAGAAGATCAAGGAAGTATTCATTGTGTTTTGTTTTGTGAGAGCAGGTTTTGTTGGATAGTGGGACGGATAAGGACGTTACTGGCCGTGCAATGCCAAACCTGGTGTACGTCTCCCGGGAAAAAAGCAGTAGTTGGCCCCACCATTTCAAGGCCGGAGCCCTCAACGTCTTAGTAAGCAAYCTCTCTCTTCTTTTTACAGACGCTACACTGATTTTCATCCTTATTGAACTTTTTCTTAATTCAAGGCATACACGATACACCAATGGATTAGTGAATTTTATTTGTGTTATGAAGCTGCGAGTATCAGAGACCATGAGCAATGCACCAGTGGTCTTAACCTTGGATTGTGACATGTACTCCAACGATCCCAGAACCCCTCTTCGTGTTCTCTGCCATCTTTTCGACCCTGTTGTTGCCCCGAAATTAGCCTACATTCAATTTCCTCAGCGTTTCCATGGGATTGACAAGCACGACATTTACGGTAATGAACAGAAGCATTTGTTCCAGTTAAATCCAATGGGTTCAGATGGGTCCGCTGGCCCAAACTACGTTGGCAGTGGATGTTTTTTCCGGAGACGATCGCTGTTTGGAGGCCCATTCTCATTCTTATCCTCTGGAGTCCTACAACTACAAGCCAAACCCATCATGTCTGCAACGCCTTCGGCATTGTCTCACCATGTCGCCAGTTGCACTTTTGAGCATGCCACGGACTGGGGCTACAAGGTATTTAATAAGTTTTGTTTGTGTAGGAAGGGAAAGGCATGACACCTGAAAATCCTTAATAATAGCTAATTTGCTTATTATTATAATCTTCGGTGGGTGCTAATTTTTAGCACTCTTGAATCTTGATCTAGCACATTCTACCCATCCACATCCAACGATGGGTTTGTGGTGTTCTCATGGGATTAGGACTAATTGCCACTATCCTTAAGGTTAACTAATACTACGTCCATTATTTTTTTAGCCTAAACTGAAACTGTGACGCAGATGGGCTTCAGGTATGGATCCTTAGTTGAGGACTACTACACAGGATATCGGCTACAGTGTGAGGGATGGAAGTCAGTGTTTTGCAACCCTAATAGGGCTGCGTTCTTAGGGGATGTGCCACTCAACCTTACTGATGCACTGACCCAAAATAGACGTTGGTGTGTTGGTCTACTGGAGGTGGGCTTCTCCAGGTACAACCCAATCACCTTTGGTATTAGATCCATGGGCCTGCTAATGGCCCTTAACTATGCTCACTATGCATATTGGCCCATATGGTCCATTCCCATCACCATCTATGCCATCGTCCCTCAGCTAGCTCTCATCAATGGGCTCTCCATCTTCCCAACGGTACCTACTTTTGTATTCCTCTGATGCTATATTATTAATCTCATTAGATTTATGTATAATTTATATTAAGAAGAGAATAAGCTAAAAAAAATGGATGGCGTGGTGATGGTGCATGCAGATGTGGGACCCTTGGTTCTATTTGTACTGGTTCCTTTTCCTGGGAGCTTATGGACAAGATGCTATTGAGTTCACCCTAGCAGGAAGCACAATCCAGAGGTGGTGGAACGATCAAAGAATGTGGTTGATAAGGGGAGTCTCA